GGAAGAGTTAAGAAATACAGAAGTAGAAGACAGCAACCCCAATAAGATGACATGTGAGCAGAGACCTGAAGTGAAGGGACGGGCCATGCAGAAACCAAAAGAAGACAACACAGAACAGCAAGTGTGAACCAAGGGCCCTGGAGAGGGGGCTTTAAGACTGGAAGAGCTGAGTGTGAGGAAAAGAATAATAAGAGATGAGTCAGGAAACCTTGAACAATTTAGAAGAGAAAAACAACATAACTACTGTGTGAAAGACAGCAGCAGTCAGAACTGTCAAAAACTACTGCATTGCAATCACCCAGGTAAATGAAATTGGTGACTTGTACCAGCAAGGCAGGAGGGAAAGTAGGAAGAGATACCTAACTCTGGATAAATATTCTCAAGACAGATCTCACATAATTTTTTTTTTAATGAATTAGATGTTCAATGTGAGAGAAGGGAAACTAGGGATGACCCCAAAGTTTTTGGGAATAGGTTTAAGGGAGAAAAATTAGTTTAGATTTGGATAATGAGTTCAAGGTGTCAATTACATACACATCCTACTGGAGATTGTGCCTAAACAACTTTAAACTTTATTTGTAATTTTCCTTTGTTCTCCAGTGGATGTGTAAGCTGTTGCCATATTTTTCCATTAGTAACATTGCAGTAATAAGCACTTAAAAAGCTTTCCTGAACATTTTCATATGCACAAAAGCTTCCTAAAAATAGAACCACTCATTCAAAAGCTACAAACATTTCAAGTTCGCACCCCTGGCTGACAAAATGATTAGAGCAGCTCACGCTTCTTCAAGCAGCAAGGACAGCACCCATTTTCACACATCAGTGAGCAAAGGTATTACGCTGCTAAATATTTTGCCAATCAAGTAGATAATGATAAAGTAGTATCTTGCTTAAATTTACTTCTCTGAACTTACTTGCAGGAAGTCATTAACTTGCACTCTTCTGTAAAATGTCCATTTTATTACTAGTATTGTGTATCTTCCCATCAACTTAAAAATGCTGTAGTGTATTAGAAATATGAAAACTTTCTCTGGCAGTGTGCAGCAATTACTTTTCCCAGCCTACCATTTATCTTTTAGCTTTGTAAATGGGTCCTTATGTCATAGGTAATGTTTTATTTTTTATTTTTTATTTTTTTTTTTTTGTATTTTAGGGAAGGGTCTACATGGTGTTCAGGGTCTCACTACTAGAGCGGACACATAGTGATCTGCCTGTTTACAGCCTCCCAAGTGCTGGGATCATAGGCACGCACCACCATGCCCAGTCTCAATTGCTGTCTCAGTGCATCCAGAGGGCAGGGCAGGCAGGGCAGGCATGGCAGACCTGGGGATCAAATTCCCAGCCCCTGCACATGCTTACAGGCACTTCAATCCACTGAGCTATTTGGCCAGCCCTAATATTTTACTGTTCATGCAAATCTATCACCCATTTCCTTTATAGCTTCTGGACCACCCATCTCACATTAGATCCCACAAGGTTCTAAGTATACTTCTCTAATTTTATTTCTATTATTTTCACTTTACACTTACGAATTTCATACATTTGCCATTTATTTTAAGAGTATGGAATGAGTAGGATCTATAGGCCAGGCAAATAGCAAATTATATCAAAACCATTCATTAAGTAAGCCATCCTTTCCCACTGAAATTCCCAGTACAACTGACTCATCTGTGTAGCCAGGCAATCCTGACCAGAAATCAACTCTGTACAACCTGACTAAGGAAATCATGGTAACTTAGTACATTATATAAATACGCAGCCAGGTGATTGTAGTAGTGCATGCCTGGGAGACTTAGGCAGGAGGAGTACACCTTTAAGCCCAGCCTGAGCAACTTAGAAACTTTAGCAAGATGCTATCTCAAAATAAAGAATGAAAAATGGTCTAGGAATGTAGCTCAGTATGGAGGCCCTGAGTTCAATCCCAGCACCAAGAAAAAACAGAAAGGAAACTGCAGCAAAGTCTCTTCTTGATTTGTACCTCCACCCTCCATAATGAGCAGCCTAGAAAAAGGAACAAGGAACAGATAAATGGAAAACAAAAAAGTGTCATCATTTTGAACTCTCTGGCTCCCTCCAGTCTCTCCTGTCACAAAGTTCTTCATTTGACACAAGGTTCCATAAGAAATAGGTCCACAGACATCTGCAGCTAAGACAGATGGGAATGGACATTACCTGCCAAAGCCGACAATTTCTTTAAACTGTAGACAACTCTGGAAATAGTATGAGTTGTTTTCTGACCTAAAATATCTAAATCCAAACACCATAATAATTTTAAAAGTGACTTAAGCAAGGCATGACGTAAAGAGATGAAATAAGTAATTTTTTTTTCTTTACCTCATAAAATAGGGGGGGAAAAATTCTGTAGGGCCAGTGGCCTGGGACAACTTTGGATGAACCGTACGGTGGTTGTAGGGGGTGACTTTAATTACTCTCTGGACAGTGGCTAATTCCTCCCCACTCATGGTCATATAATATCAACTCAGAAATAAAAAACAGCTATTTGCAAAATTTGGACCAAAATTGAGAGCCGGTCTATACTACAGGGTACCAGACACTTAAGATACAGATATTCAGCGAATGTGAATTAGAACCTCAGTGACCAAAAAGAGAATGTGTAATAACCAAAATGACTACATGTGCTTAGTCACTAAATAGTCCTATAATTCAATCATTGAAGATGTTTAACAATGCTTTTGTGCTTCAAAAGTTATACGTTGAAGGGTCGGCAAGATAGCTCAGCAGACTAAGCACCTGCTTTGGCAAGTTCAGGGACCAGGATTCAATCCCCAATCCTGCATACTGCACCGGCCCTGCCCCTAGGGTGCACTGAGCCAGTGACTGAGTCCAGGCATGGTAGTGCATGCCTGTAATCCCAGCACTGGGGAGGCTAAAACAGGAGGATCACCACGAGTCTGAGTTGAGTAGTAAGACCCTGTAGACCCAGTACCAAATACATAAGCTAAAAAAAAAAAGTTATACATCAGGTAGGACAAAACAATAGGTAAAGGATGGGCCAGCCTGCATAATGATGCTGCAAAACTTGAACTTTCTCATTCACAGCTAACCTGATCTGACTTATCTCTGTAACGCTACCTCATTAATTCTGCCTTATTTCCTTCACAGAGAAAAAAACAGAATTTAGCCCGTTAGCCTTGGTGAGCTCAGCAGGACTGCTAGCTTCCTATTTCCTATCTTTCCTTTTTCTCCAACTTCTTCACAGCAGGGCCTGGAGCAAAGCCAGTGTTCACTGCCACCCTGAGGCCTCTGGCTCCTTGAGAGAAAATGAGACTCGCAAACAAAGGGCGTAATGGCCTCCACCTTCTGAGCTCCCTGCTTTGAGCTTGAGTGCAAACAGCTTTTGAGTATAGACAGAATATAGAACCTGCTGCCTCAGTAAGCACAGTCAGTCTCATAATGATCCTCATAGGACATGCAGCACTTGGCATGTCCATAAAGGAAATCCATAAAGGAAAAATCCTTTTCATGTGCAAAAGTAAACTGATTTACTGGAAACTATTTTTTTTTAAATGAGACTTTTTTAATTGTTAAGGATTGTCTGCAAGCTATCATTAGTATGAGTCTGCAAGGAAGAAGAGAGGATGCAGCCTTATCACTCTCTGCTCAGCAATATAAGCAATTCCTAAAGAGTCAACAGCCCCTAGGGGCTAGGGTTTGGCTCAGCAGTAGAATGCTTGCCTAGCAAGCTGGAAGCCCTGAGTTGGGTCCTCGGCACTAAAAACAAAAAATAGGGCCGGCCAAATAGTTCAGTGGATTAAAGCGCCTGCAAGCAGCAGGCACAGGGGCTGGGGGTTCAATCCCTGGGCCTGCCTGCCAGCTGGGGCGCACTGAAACAGCAATTGAGACTGGGCGTGGTGGCTCTTGGGAGGCTGTAAACAAGTGGATCACTAAGAGTCCGATCCAGTCCTGAGACCCTGAACACCCTGTAGACCCTCCCCTAAAATACAAAGAAGAAAAGAAAAAATAAATAAACATCCCCTAAAAAAAAGAAAGGAAAAAAAAAAACAACTCCCCTAAGAGTCAACAGGCTAAGATGCTACTGTGATTAGACCCCAGATAAAGTGCTCTGACTCCTACATCATAATAAGGTAAAGCATATTCCTTGTTGAGAGTCTGAAAGTCACTGAAAATGTTCACATTTGATAGGGTAATAGTATAAAAGAATAAATCAAGGGGTAAAATTTTCAATCTAACAGGCCAATTCTAGAACCCCAAAACTCAGCAGAGCAGCAAGGCTGACTCTTTCTGGTAAGGCACTTTGAGGAATCATACAAGCTTCAAATGGGGCCCCAGAAAAATCTTGCAACCACACAGGCAAGCTACCAAATTAGTAGGAAGAATATGTCCCTTTCTTTGTAAAATTCTAGTCCCATATCAGAAAGATGGGAAACACCTAAATGCTTGAGACTACCACTATGCCACCAATTTAACCAATTCTGGAAATACTCTTCCTAGGTAAATTAATAAAATTTACTCATTGTTCATGACACTGCCAGCCTGGTATTGTTACCTGAAGCTGTAAAGATCCTGACACATGCTCATTAAAAACATAAGAATCAAGTTCACACCCCATCCAGTAAGAAAAACATTCTTTTAGGTTGTTCGTATCATCATCCTAAGATTCACCACAGTCAAAGCTAACTGGCATCCTACAGTAACTACTGAGAGAAATCGGCAGGACTCAGAATTGGGGTTTGCGCTTCACTTTCTGAACCTACATACTGTAATGCTTGTCTAATCATTGGCAAAACACTTGAGAACTTTTAAGAGTACCACTAAGTAGTCCTTTGTGGGCCATAATGTCCATAGTAGCCTAAAAACCCCCTATCTTTGTAATCTCATATAAGAATGAAGGAGGTAGCCAGGTGAGGTGGCGCACACCTGAAATCTCACCACTTGGTGGCTGAGGTAGGAGGATCACTGTGAGTTCCAGGCCAGCCTGAACTGCATAGCAATACCTTGCCTTAATAAAAAAGGAGGCAGTGCTCGCTTCGGCAGCACATATACTAAAATTGGAACGATACAGAGAAGATTAGCATGGCCCCTGCGCAAGGATGACACGCAAAAAAGGAGGCAATTTAACCATATCATAGTAATATGTGTAACTTTTAATACAGTATTCAACATATGCAAGGTACTTTTCTTGGCAACAGTAAGGAAAAAAACTTTAAAAAATGAAAATGAAATAGGCTACCCTTAAAAATTTTTAAATAAAAATGTGTGAACTCTCCCTTAACGATCTATCTTACATTTCCCTTCTCTGAATGTTCATCAGATCCTGCTGCATTAAGGGAGCCTATAAAATGAGTAACACACATATATGCACATGCATAATAAATTTATTAATTCATTAACACACTGAAATAGGATCAAAAAATTATAATGAAAAATATTAACCTAAATTACTACTCTAATTACAAATAATAACAGCAAGCACTAGCTGCATGCTAATCATGGGTCAGGCACTATGCCAAACATTTGACATAGTACTTATTAAATCTTCACAACCTTAAGTATATGATGTCATCCACATTTTGCAAGTAAGAAAACTGAGACAAGGACAGGTTATGCAGTTTTCCCAGATCAACCCAGCTATTGACAGGCAGAGTCAGTTTTCTACTCCATACTCTTATTCACTGAGGTTCCCTCCATTTATCTTGCCTCTAAAATAAAATTATTGTGCCAGCCCTGCCCCGGGAGCATGCTGAGACAGGGATTGGGACTGGGCATGGTAGGCCTGTAATCCCAGCACCTGGGAGGCTAAAAACAGGAGGAAAAACTATGAGTCCGAGCTGTGTAGTGAGACCCTGTACTAAATACATTAAAAAAACAAACAAAAAACAAAATAAAATAATTAAAAGCAACGATTCTGTTGTTTCTATGGTTTGGATGTGGTCTGTCTCACAAAGATTCATGTGCTGGCAATTTGGCTCCCATTGTAGCTGTGTTGTGGTGGAGGAACTGTGAAGATATGAAGCCTAGAAGAACAACAGAGGGCCTCTACCCTCAGGGCTTAACATCTGTCTTGGGGAGTGGGATGACTCTCCCAGGGTTCCCAGGACAGGCTGTGTACAGTGAGGCCACCCTAGTTCTTCACCCTTCTGCACATGCCCAGTTCCCTCTCCCTTTCTCTGCTCCAACCTCCAAACACCGTGCTGTCTGGTAGTGTAGCCTTGGCCAAATAAGCCTCTTTATAAGTTACCTAGTCTCAAGTACTCTGTCACAGTAACACAAAACTGACTAAGAAAGCTGGGTATGGTGTGCATGCCTAAAATCCCAGCTACTCAACAGGGTAAGGCAGGAGAATCAGAAGTTCCAGAGCAGCCGGGCATCTTTGCAAAACTCATGTCTCAAAATAAAACTAAATGAACTGAGGTCAGCTATTGTAGGAGTCACTTCCAGGTCCTCATAGCGCAACCCATGGCGAAAATAAAGACACTAAGTTATATTTTCAATCATCGGGGAGTCAAGGGGCTCTAAGTCCAGCCACAAAGATGGCTTCCCAGAACCCAGAGAGTGACCCAGGGCCTCATACGGTTTTTATTCAGTGGGGGAGTGGCTTAAGGAGGACTGACTGAGAATTGTGGTAAGTAGGTGACCATAGTGAGCTGAGCTAGGTGGGTGGCCTACATTTACCTCTGCCATATGCAGAGAGGATATGCAGAGAAAGTAATCTGCATTATACTATTATGCCATGGAGATAGCATCTAATATTTTGGGGGGTCTGGTGCTTCAGCTCTGATATAGTCTTTCAAGCCCCAGGAAGTCATAGCCTCTATCTCGAGGCTCGATCCCAGCTGGTGGCATGGAGCATTAGCTCTACCGTCTTGTACTAGGGAAACACGCACACCGCCTTCAAAGACTATCACTGGCACCTCAGCTAGACCAATACACATTGCTTAAGGTCAACTAAAGGATAAACAGAAGTCCTAGCCAGCTCTGTACAGAACAAAACGAGGAAATAAGGCCAGGCTCAATCAAAATGGAGACAGTTGCTCTTCTTTCACGGAGAGTTGCTCAGGTGGTCCTCCACAAGCTATAAATCATATAATGCAGTACCCTAATCACAGCTGGTTTTATTCTGTACCCTGCTCCAGCTGGTGTTTAACCAGTACCCTAATCATAGCTGGGGTTTAACTAGTAAGGTAAGAAGTACAAGCATGCTTCTTGGAGGCCAAGCTCATTTGCATCTGCATCCCTTTTTCTCTCTCCTGTAAGGACTGAATAGAAATAAAATGTAAACTAGAAAAACAGCTTGAGAACAAAAATCCTATCAGATCTCCCAATCAGCCTAATACCCATGGACAAAATCATAATTATTACAACCACCTTAGAATTAAAACCAAGCTGTCAATACCCAAACAGGACTCAAATTCAACTCCCTTTTCTTTCCTCTTTTATATATATCCCAAACAATACTAATCTACTTTATAGAGCAACCATAGGATTAATCAGCTTAAAAAAGCTAAACTCGTAAGAGATGAAGAAAGCTTATGTATCATTAACCACTGTGGTGAACTGCCACCTGACGATGAACTCGTTACAGCCAGCTGAACTAACAGTACCGAGGATTGTTGCTAGCAGCATAAGAAGTAGAACTAAAAAAGCTGTTAAGAGGCTGGCAGGGAAGCTATCTGAAGAAGCTGTTGGAAAGTGCTGGTCCTCCTTGTCATGCTGGCTTTCCTGATGAAGTTGGCTGTTCCTGTCAGGAGAAGTATGGGACCTCACTGTGGCTGAGAATGGCTACGGTTCCCTTTGGGGGAGCTCTGGTCCTCACCTTGAGCATCAATTGAGCATCAACCTTGTCATGTTGGCCTTCCTGATGGGAACTTGGCTTTCCTCATCAGATGAGCTCACAACTTCACTGTTGCTGAGAATTTGTGTGTTACTTTCCGGGGGGAGCTCTGGTTCTTACCTTGAGCATTGTTTTCTGGCTCCAGTTCAGATCCCTCAGACTGCTAGCACAGAGCCTTCATCCTGCTGGCATAGACTTTTTAGCTTACCACTGACCTTGGGGCCTTTCCAGCACAGATCTGTGAAGTGACCTGCATGAGACATTGTCATGGGCTCTAGGCCTCCAGTTAGACTGGTGGGAGGCATTGTTATGGGACAAAATCTTCAGCTGGACTCATGCAGGATATTAGGATCCAGGCCCTCAGCTGGATTCTCTGATCTTCAGTGTGTGAACAGATTTCCTGCACTCTTTTTATATGACCCTTTGGGTGAATACTATAAAATAATCTTATAAAATGTGTGTCCTGTGTTGTATTGTTCACCTTGCAAAAACTCCAAACCACAACATCCACTTTCACATTTAACAAATGAAATAAGCCTCTTGTTTCATCAAGATATAAACCACTGTGTTAATTAATTAAAACTAATACTAAGGGCTGGGGTGATAGCTCAGTAGAATAAGTGCTTGTCTGGCAAGCGCAAGGTCCTGAATTCAATCCCTGGTACCACAAAAAAGAAAACTAATACTGAGGGCTGGGGTGGGGCTTAGTAATAGAGCTTGCCTAGTATTCATAAAATCTGGGTGCAATGCTCAGAACCATCAAAAAAAAAAAAAAAAGTAACCCTCCAAATGTTTAAGTCATAAGTAATATTTCACATTTATGAATATAATCATTATATTTTCTAAATTACCCAAGTGTCTGTAAAGAAAACAGCCTGAGTCATACACAGGAAAAAAGGTAACTTTCAATTAACAACATCATAAAATAAAATTAAGCGAAGTGAGACCTCTGAGCCACTTGGCTGTCTACCCCATTACCAAAGAAGCCAAGACATCCCATTTGATTATTACTATCACCATTATCTGAAGAGCTCTGCACCTCCTGGACCACCTGATTCCCAAATGAGTACCAAGAGGCCCTAACAAGCGCCAAGGATGAGATTTGAACATTTCCTATAGCACCTTCTGCTTTTTATATCAGTTATACTCTTAGAAACATCCACTGCAATGACAGGAAGTCATTACAGAATTTCTTCTATTTCCTTTCTGTTCAGTGAGTTTGCTTTTTAACAAGGCTAATGGAAATGAGAGTTACTGTGTCCTTCAGATGCCCGAGAGAAACCAGATAAGCTAGTTGAAAGCATTACTTCTACCAGTACTCACAGGTTTGCTTTTGGACGTTCTACTTTATAAACCTCATTATCAAACAGCAGGACAGCTGTTAGATATGGTGATGAACATTATGGAAATGCTTAGATGGAATAAAAAATGTGAGTGGATTGGATTAAATTACCTGCAAGAAAGAGAAAAACTCAGATGGAAGTAAAAAGAATCAATCATAGATATGAATCAAACAGAGCTACATGGAAATGTTAGAGCCTGTTTATAAATTGTTACCTTTGGGGTTTGCTATAATAAAGGTTCTTAGAATATGTGTGCAAGCATTTTTTTAAATTCAGCAAAGGCAAGTAAGGTTAAATTAACTGCACCCATTACAATTCTTGCCTGCCCAAAATAGGTTAGAGGTCACTTACATAAATTCAGCCATTCCTAATAATATGAAGATTACTTTACACGGGCCAGGGATCCAGCTCAGAGGCACAAGTGCCTGCCTGACTAGTGCAAGGTCCTGGGTTTGATTCCCAGCACCCAAAAAAAAATAAGCTTACACTAAAATCCTACTATTAGAAATCTGAGTCTGTATGGGAAAAGAAGAATTGTCCATTCAGCTGAAGAATGGTGTTTACAACACAGTTAGGAATGAGACTTAGTAAACTGAGGTAAAATTTTCAATTCTACAACCAGTTTCTATTTCATTTTAATAAAATATTTCAAAATTTATTTAATGCTCAATTATAAATCAAATTTTTATGAGAAATTACTTAGAAAAAAAAAAACTTACATCAATTTCTTTGTTTGTTTTATTAGCAAGAGTGGGACACACAAATCTTTCTGATACCAGCTCTGTAACTCTCTGTCTTATGAAATTACAAGGTAAATTCATGGAACAAAACATGAAACTGGTAGTAATCCTACCATGCTTCTAATCACTGGAACTATCTCTGAGGGTGAGATGAAACTGGTAATGAAATGTAAGAGTACAAATGATAGAGAAAGAAAAAAGCCACAGAGGAG